GTGTGGAATCAAGATGCTCATAGTTAGGTAATGATGCTGATGGGCAATGATGTACACAGTGTGCAATAAAGATACTCATAGTTAGGTAATGATGCTGACAGTCAATGATGTACACAGTGTGGAATAAAGATGCTCAAAGTTAGGTAATGATGCTGACAGGCAATGATGTGCACACTGTGGAATAAAGATGCTAATAGTTAGGTAATGATGCTGACAGTCAATGATGTACACAGTGTGAAATAAAGATGCTCATAGTTAGGTAATGATGCTGATGGGCAATGATGTACACAGTGTAGAATAAAGATACTCAACGTTAGGTAATGATGCTGACAGGCAATGATGTACACAGTATGGAATAAAGATATTCATAGTTAGGCAATGATGCTGATAGGCAATAATGTACACAGTGTGGAATAAAGATACTAATAGTTAGGAAATGATGCTGACAGGCAATGATGTACACAGTGTGGAATAAAGATGCTCATTGTTAGGTAATGATGCTGTTAGGCAATGATGTACACAGTGTGGAATAAAGATACTCATAGTTAGGTAATGATGCTGACAGGCAATGATGTACACAGTGTGGAATAAAGATGCTCATTGTTAGGTAATGATGCTGATAGGCAATGATGTACACAGTGTGGAATAAAGATGCTCATAGTTAGGTAATGATGTTGATAGGCAATGATGTACACAGTGTGCAATAAAGATACTCATAGTTAGGAAATGATGCTGACAGGCAATGATGTACACAGTTTGGAATAAAGATGCTCATAGTTAGTTAATGATGCCGACAGTCAATGATGTACACAGTGTGGAATAAAGATGTTCATAGTTAGGTAATGATGCTGATGGGCAATGATGTACACAGTGTGGAATAAAGATGCTCATAGTTAGATAATGATGCTGACAGGCAATGATGTACAGTGTGGAATAAAGATGCTCATAGTTAGGTAATGATGCTGATAGGCAATAATGTACTCAGTGTGGAATAAAGATGCTCATAGTTAGGTAATAATGCTAATAGGCAATGATGTACACAGTGTGGAATGAAGATGCTCATAGTTAGGTAATGATGCACATAGTGTGGTAAAGATTCAGTGTTTCTCTTTACGCACAGTTGTGCGTCAGGGACGCACTCTGGAGGAGATTGACGCACATAAATTTTTGTGCGTTTTTTTGACGCAAAGGATTTGCAAAATATAATCACGATTTATTTAATATTCAACGCATTGCATTAGACATAGAATCGTGTATACTTCGATTATTCATCATTAGGGATGATGGCGTCGTGAATACTTCTTCCGGTTTCCTGTTTTGTATGCTCTCTGTGTTGCACACTGTAATACTGAGCATACAGAGCAGAGAACCAGACTACCATTAGGCAATATTATGACAGAGTAGCTTCCCCTGATCTCGCGAGCTCTCACGAGATTCTATCGAGTTCAGCAAGATGTCCAGATATTTAACCTCAATTCTTGTTGCACTCAAATGTGATCTCGAGATGAAAACAGCGTGCACTAAGAATCATTAGCGAAGAAAGTGAAAAAGCAAAACACAAAAGAGTAAATGTGGATCTGACTAATGACAAATGAATAAAATATTCCCTTGACTTGAATACGGCACATCCAAGGCATTGGGATTACCGGTGTGACTTTGTGATTGCGAAAACTACACAAGTGAATAATCCTTTCGTGACATCGTTTGAGAATTTTTAAAATCTGTCCTTGATCACTACAAGATATCTTTTGAACACATTATTACCTAAAACATTCAGAACAAAGAAATAAGTAAACTTGCAGAGACAAATCCATTATTTGGATTACAAATTCAGGGGGTCGTTGCAGATTTTTCTAACTTTGCTGCAACGAAAGAAAGATCTAAAAGTTCAAGTGTAACTTTTTAAAAGACAAGATGAATCATCAGCCTCTGATTTTTGGATAAATGTGTTTTAGGACGAAGTGCAACGAAACCGATGATAATGCACAGTTTATGACAGGCAGTAAATTAACTGTCGTTTTGTTAAAAAGATTTATGGAGTTTTGTTTTGGCTTATATGTAATGTGTTGTTCTATAAGATTGCTACACAAATTATAAAGAGACTTTTAAAAGTACAACTTTAAACTAAAAGAGAAATTAACTAATAAAAGTATTATTTAAATGGAGAGAGAGAGAGAGAGAGAGAGAGAGAGAGAGAGAGAGAGAGAGAGAGAGAGAGAGAGAGAGAGAGAGAGAGAGAGAGAGAGAGAGATTGTACAAATTGCAATATCATTCCATCTGAAAAAGTATGGATTATATGAAAATTTTTCGGTATATTTTTGAACCCCACATTTTTTATTTGACCCCCAGTTCTGACACCAAGGGGTTTTTTTTGACCCTCAGTTTTACACTCCTGGGGGATACACTGGTAAAGATATTTATATAGTTAGGTAATGATGCTGATAGGCAATGATGTGCACAGTGTGGAATCAAGATGCTCATAGTTAGTTATGATGCTGATAGGCAATGATGTACACAGTGTGGAATAAAGATGCTCATAGTTAGGTAATGATGCTGACAGGCAATGATGTACTCAGTGTGGAATAAAGATGCTCATAGTTAGGTAATGATGCACACAGTTAGATAAAGATTTCTCACGGTTTTATTACTGATGCACACAGTGGGGTAATGCTTTCAGGGTATAGTAGCGATATCTTACGTCTGTATAAAGAATTCATAATGACTTTAATATAACTCCCCTTGAAATTTAGACACGGTGTCTTTTTTAAACATTAAAAAAACAGACGCATAGTGGAACGACTTAATAAAGATAAGGCCTCTTTAGTCGTGTACTCATTGTTTGTTCCCATTCTTTATGCATCTTTCAGTTGAAGCCGATAATTAGATTATTACCACTAAAACTTGTAATAAGAATAGAAAAATAAATAGCAGCAGCGTATACTTATATGAAATAAAGTAAGCAAAAGATGACGACGTTCAATTTTGAATACATTCATAAAATCAAGTAAGTATAAGATGACTATATTCAATATTGAAACTCATTTATGAAATCAAGTAGAAGATGACTATATTTAATTTTGAAACTCATTCATGAAATCAAGTAGAATATAACTATATTCAGTTTTGAAACACATTCATGAAATCGATTAATTACAAGATGATCACTTTCAATTTTGAGGCTCGTCCACGAAATCGACAACTGACTTTCATTCATGAAATTGACATCTGGCTTTAGCGCTAATTTGGAAATTCATGCAAGAAATTGACAGCTGAATTTAATGTAAACGTTTTATTGATCTTTTTATCCACATGTCAATAAATAATATGACATTATAAGATAAAGTGACCCAAGGTCATTAAACAGCTAAGTAGTTCCTATCTAAATTCAGGAAAGAATCGTTATTTATTTATGTATCACAGCAGTGCAAGCAATGTGGAGAAAGTGTGCACATAAGGCCAACGTGTGGTATTGTTAAAATATGTTTTAATTCACCCGGATACGAAAAAGGAAACCAGGTAGCTTTTGATCAGCTGTTGAACTTGACTATGCTGGACATTTACTGCGAAGTACTGGTGTACCATACTGTCTGTTATTGCCTATGAATTGTACTGTGATTGGGAATCAAATTAGTCTATGTACAGGCAATTTAGAACATGTTCCTCACTAAGCGTATGCTCGTTCTTATGTAGAATTAGCAAAAATTATTACATTAATATTGAATTAGCTGCCTCCTAGTAATATCTAATAAATGTTACACACACACACACACACACACACACACACACACACACACACATATATATATATATATATATATATATATATATATATATATATATATATATATATATATATATATATGAGAATTATTTACTAGGTCGTCATGTTAGTGGGTCTGCTACGCACGAGCTCATATAATACACCGACTCAGTGCCGTCATTTTTTGGTGATGTGTGCTTAGTCGTGACGGTACGTTCAGGCAAGGCGATGGGTGCCATTTACTCGCGGAACTGGGTTCGAAACTCCGTAGAGTACGAATTTAATTTTTCTAACCTGTATGATAGTATTGTTTGTATTAAATTCTGCCCACTATTATCAAGATTCTACTACATAATCCAGGGATAGCACTGTCTGTTCTCTCTCTCTCTCTCTCTCTCTCTCTCTCTCTCTCTCTCTCTCTCTCTCTCTCTCTCTCTCTCTCTCTCTCTCTCTCTCTCTCTATATATATATATATATATGTTCATCTAAGTGTTGTTAAACAGTCTAAACAAACGCATGTTACATCAGCACTTATGTATGACGGATCATTCATTTACATAAGAAATACTTTATTACCTGCATTAACGCTTCTTGGATCAAAGCACTGTTTGCAGGAATATCTTTTATCACTCATCCTTCGCAGCATTTATTCCACACTCCCCACATTCATCTTCCTCATTACGCCATAGGAATTCCCTTTCATTTACTTCTTTCCCAAAATCCTTTATCTTCCACACGCATATTTCTGTCCCTTATATAATACAGCTTCCCAGCAAATTTATCTTTCCTGAGTTTTTACCTCTCTCACCACTGCAATTTTTTCCACCGCTTATATCTCCCCGCTAACGTTATATGTCCCTTGCAGAAACGTGGATGTACCTCCCTCCTGCGATCATGTTCCCACCTCGCCTATATCAGAATAGGTTTATTTTGACCTTCCGTGTGTCACACGATATCACTAATGAAGATAGGGCCGAAAAGGGAGTCGTGGCAATCGGGAATATGCCCCAGGGACTCGGTCCCGTAAAGGATCCCGGATCGAACAACACTATTTAATTTTATAAAAGAAAATTTTTGCTTCAGCAAGAAATAGGAGAGGCCCGGATGTTTCCTACCCTAGGGACTGTGATCGCTTTTTACGGTCTTGTGCATACATACATACATACATACATACATACATACATACATACATACATACATACATACATACATACATACATACATACATACATACACAACCGCTCTGGTGGCCTGGTGGTTAGAGCGTCCGCCTCGGATGCGAGAGTCGTGGTTTCGATCCCCGATCGAGTT